TAGGCCATTGTGGTCTAGGTTGGAGTGTTCTAGATCAGGATATAGGCACGAAGGCCTCGCTGTGTGGTTTTGCGAGCGCATCTTGGCTCGATTGGCTTCCCTGTTGCCAACCCATTGCTTGCCTGCCTCCTTCTTGCTTGGGGCCTCTCTCCATTCCCATCGCTGCTGTCATCTCACCATCACCCTCTTCCTTTTCCATAGGCTGAATTCATCCTCGTGGCTGTTTTTTGCAGCTAGGAGACACGGCGTTGCCTTGGAAACAAAGCCCTTTCGGTGACTGGAGGCTCGGGGAGCACTACGCACCACCCCGGATACTCCCTCACCACTGAATCTTTCCCTTCCTCTCGTTATTAACTAGACAACGATCCAGTGGGCTTATATTGCTAATGCAGAAAAGGAGGGATGAACGGAGATGGAGAGATGCAGGCTGCCGTTCCCTGGCATGCATTATTCCAGCAAAGGCAATTTTCCCCCCTCTGGCATCGCCTTTGCAGTGCATCGCTGGCACAACGTCTACGAGAAAATGTTCTCTCTCGAAAACAGGGAGTGAGAAAGGGAGGAAAAGGGAGGTGGAAGAGAGAAAGAGAGAAGAGGCAGTTGTGTACAGATTGAGCAGAGAGAAGAAGCACTGGGACATCCAAAACCAAGAACCATTGTCTCCAAAACCAGACAGATTCTCCTGGCATTTCAGAAAGAATATCCCACCAATACCTTTCCCGATCTGTCGGTGCCAAAGAATAATACAATACGATCACGAGAAAATGAATGACAATATGTTCCACTTTCGTAGCAACCACAATCACATTCACATCAGGGGCCATGTACCCACATGGGACACAATTTATTTATTTATCGTGTTAGGAGCAGACCAAACAGTTGTATTGCATTTTTTAAACAAACAAACACAGACAAAGCACAAAGTTTGCAAGCTTGGTAGTTGATTAAATGCCCTTTGACCAGTAGCTGGCCGCTTGGAGTGCTTCTGGTGTTGCTGCAAGAAGGTCCTCCATTGTGCATGTGGCAGGGCTCAGGGTGCATTGCAGCAGGTGGTCTGTAGTTTGCTCTTCTCCACACTCGCATGTCGAGGATTCCACTTTGTGGCCACATTTCTTAAGGTTGTCTCTGCATCTCGTGGTGCCAGAGCGCAGTCTGTTCAGCGCCTTCCAAGTCGCCCACTCTTCTGAGTGCCCAGGGGGGAGTCTCTCATTTGGTATCAGCCATGGATTGAGGTGCTGGGTTTGAGCCTGCCACTTTTGGACTCTCGCTTGCTGAGGTGTTCCAGCAAGTGTCTCTGTAGATCTTAGAAAACTATTTCTAGATTTAAGTCATTGACGTGCTGGCTGATACCCAAACAAGGGATGGGCCGGAGATGTCTCTGCCTTGGTCCTTTCACTGTTGGCTGCTACTTCCCGGCAGATGTCAGGTGGTGCAATACTGGCTAAACAGTGTAATTTCTCCAGTGATGTAGAGTGCAGACACCCCGTGATAATACGGGGATAATATGTTTAATTAAGAGCCACATCTACTGTTTTAGCATGGTGATATGTGTTCCACATTGGGCCATGCATACTCAGCAGCAGAGTAGCATAGTGCAAGGGCAGATGTCTTCACTGTGTCTGGTTGTGATCCCCAGATTGTGCCAATCAGCTTTCATATGATACCCACCAAACCCTTCTAGTATTTTCCGTTGTTCGTGGGAGAACTGTGTGCCAAGTTTGATTCAATTCATCGTTGGTGGGGTTCAGAATGCTCTGTGATTGTGGGTGAACTACAAATCCCAGCAAGTACAACTCCCAAATGTCAAGATTCTATTTTCCCCAAACTCCACCAGTGTTAACATTTGGGCATATTGGGTATTCATGTAGAATTTGGTCCAGATCCATCATTGTTTGAGTCCAGAGTGCTCTCTGGATGTAGGTGAACTACAACTCCAAAACCAAAGGACACTGCTCACCAAACCCTTCCAGTTTGGGAGAACTGTGTGCCAAGTTTGATTCAATTCCATCGGTGGTGGGGTTCAGAATGCTCTTTGATTGTAGGTGAACTATAAATCCCAGCAACTACGACTCCCAAATGACAAAATCAATTTTTTTAGCGAAGGACATACATTGGGTTGTTAGGTGTCTTGTGTCCAAATTTGGTGTCAATCCGTCCAGTGGTTTTTGAGTTCTGTTAAACGGCGCTCCATGCGGTCATGCTGGCCACATGACCTTGGAGGTGTCTATGGACAACGCTGGCTCTTCGGCATAGAAATGGAGATGAGCACCACACCCCAGAATCAGACATGACTGGACTTAATGTCAGGGGACAACCTTTACTTTTTTAATCCCACAAACAAACATTATATTTTTATTTATGTAAATATTTTATTTATGTAGGTATTTTATTTATGTAGAGATTTCCCATTGAAAATAGTGCTGAGGGTGAAGGTGTGGAGAAAGCCTCCTCGTTTCTCAAAACTGCAACCTGGCGGATATCTGTAGTTAAACCCAGCTCCGTTCGTATCATTTCTAGGACGCGCTTGTCACCCCGGGAAGCCATGCAGTGTTGGAACCTGGTAATTAGTTGCTCCGAGTGCGAAGGTGGGGACTTAATTCCCAACCTGTAATTAACGTTGCAGATTTGTCAGCGCACAGTGGGGCTCTGGACATCCTCCACGGGCTGAAACGGACAGCCTTTTGGAAGGCCTCTCCATCCTCCTTCACAAAGCAGCCAAGGCTTCGTTCCTTCTCTCTTTTGCTCCTTGGCGTTAACTCATCCTCAAGTTTGCACTGAACACAAATATCCATGCACAGCAATAGACTCTCATGAGGCCTCTGACAGTCTCCCTTCTTGCATTATAGTCGTGACATCTTTCCCCAGGGGATTGCTTCTTGCCCTCCTTTAGGAAACTGGAACTCTCAAAGACCCTGTACAGGAGTTGATTATAAATTGTATGATTTTAACTGTATTTGTGTTTAGATTGGCTGCAGTAATGCTGGAGCGGCCTAAGTCAGAGGAGTCCTCCATGTGCGTTGCCATGGAGACCGATGCAGGAGAGAGGGAAGTGGGAGGAGCTTAGAGGGGAGAGTTTGAAAAAACGACAGTTAAAAATCAGTTAGGGTTTAGGTTTAGAGGAGTTAGGTTCAGAGGAGTGAGGAGTTAGGAGTTGGGAGAGAAAGAAAGGAAAGGTGGCGGAGTAACTTGTGAAGCAAAGCTTTGAGGCTTTGAAAAGCTGGGTTTGGCTATTGGAAGTTTCTCAGGCTAGTGCAGCCGAATGGTGAAACATAGCTGGTATTCTTTTAGTCTAAGGAGAGGCTAAAGAATAGTTTACTTAGTATTTGATCTAGGGAGGATCAAATAAGGGAAACCTCTCTGTATTGAAACTTTGTCTGAAACAAGTGCTCTACGTCAGAAAGATACTGTGTTACTTGAAAAAATGAACTGTTAAAGTTACAAGTATTATTCCAAGTGCAACAAGGAAAAGTTACGTCTTGCAACCACACGCTGTGTACTTAATAAAATTGTTAACTTTTATTTGAAGATTGCCTCAGCTCCGTCTATTCTGTGTCCAAAGTGCCATTTCTCACAATATTACAACTTACCTCACGTGGTGGCAGAAACGCAGGGAAAAGTAACCAAATAAATCTACATTCTTCTCTCCAGTCACGCTACAGTATATACAGTGTAATTACTACTAAGTTATTACTTTCTTAATAAAGGAGGAGGTGCAATTGAACAGCCTCCCTTCTAACTTGATGGTAAATTTGGTTCCTAATCGGCAACCTCCATTGCAAATCGGCTAAGTCTTTTTAAAATTGGGAGCTGGGGTAAAATCTCCTGAATACTGGTTCCTTTCAAGTTGGTGGCAACAATAAATCATCCCTCCGCTCCGTTGCTTCTCCGTTGCCAGGTTCATGGCCCTCTGGAGCATGTCCAGCCCTGCAATCAAGTCACTCACCTGAGTTCCACAAAGCCGTTCACAAGAACGAGGGAGATGAAATCCTTGCCCCGATTCTGCCCGTTGTACAAGAGCAGCCCGCTGAGCTCGGAGGCCCGGAACTCCATGGCGATGCGCACGGTGTGGTAGGCCTTCATCATTTTGAACGCCAGGTAGGACTTCCCACCAAAACTTGGGATGAAGTACCGAATTGCTGATGGAAGAGATAGATATGTGAAGACTTTCCCCACAATAATAATAATAATAATAATAATAATAATAATAATAATAATTTGCACGTATTATTCACCAATACATCACACAGTTATAGACACGTGGGAATTGTCCGACGAGAGATCCAATACAAAAGCCAGCAGAGTGATCTTGTTTGCTGTGTACTAATCTTGTTATGTTTCTAATAACAATAATAACAATAATAATAATAATAAAATAATAATAATAATAATGCTGGATTCTGTATAAAAATCCAGCATTATTATTATTATTATTATTATTATTATTATTATTATTATTATATCTGAGAGAGCTCTCAGTGTGACAAGAAACCTCTCTGTGTGAGAGAACGCCTCAGTGAGAGAATAGCCCTTAGTGGTGAGGTATGCCTCTGTCTGAGAGAGGCTCTCTGTGTGAGAGAATGTCTCAGTGGGAGAATAGCCCTTAGTGGTGAGGTATACCTCTGTCTGAGAGATCTCTCAGAGTAAGAAGCCTCCCTGTGTGAGAGAACACCTCAGTGGGAGAATAACCCTTAGTGGTGAGGTATGCCTATGTCTGAGAGAGCTCTTAGTGTGAGAAGAAGCCTCTCTGTGTAAGAGTTTATCTTACAGCCAGAGAGCACAGATGATGCATCTAGAAGAAACTTCCCCAACATAACAAACTTTAAGTACTGAGGGAGTTTCTCGGGGTTAACCTGGCATGATGGGAGTTGTGGTTCCCCACAACCTTATTCATTGTGGACAATTAAAAAAATTGACCTTTTCAAATAAGATAAAAAAGATGGCTCTGTGTGAGAAGAAGGCTCTCTGTGTGAGAGAATGCCTCAGTGGGAGAATAGCCCTTAGTGGTGAGGTCTGAGGGAGCTCTTAGTGTAAGAAGAAGCCTCTCTGTGTGAGAGAATGCCTCAGGGGAGAATAGCCCTTAAGGGTGAGGTATGCTTATGTCTGAGAGAGTTCTCAGTGTGAGAAGAAGCCTCTCTGTGTGAGACAACGCCTCAGTGGGAGATTAGCCCTTAGTGGTGAGGTATGCTTATGTCTGAGGGAGCTCTCAGTGTGAGAAGAAGCCTCTCTGTGTGAGAGAACACCTAAGTGGGAGAATAGCCTTTAGTGGTGAGCTATGCTTATGTCTGAGAGCTCTCAGTGTGAGAAGAAGCCTCTGTGTGAGAGAACGCCTCAGTGGGAGAAGAGGCCTTAGTCATAGTGGGCCTCACCATGGGAGAAAGGCCTGTGTTAGTTTTCAAGGAGAGGCTGGATGGCCATCTAACCCTTTTCCAACTCAGTGTTCCTATGACATTTCATCCTCATCCACTATTGTCTCCCATGAGCTTCTGCTTCTCCACTCATCCAACCAGACCACACTCTTTGAATGATCGTGTACCAAAACCAGCCATGGACGAACAAGATTTGTGTTGTGTCCCCACCCTGGAGCTTACATTTTTCACACACTGCTCCTCCTTTCCCAGCTGGACAACTGCAGGTGAAGTCCCGTCCGTCGTCTTCACAAGTACCACCATGGAGACACGGGTGGGAATCGCAAGGCCGAGCTGGTTTCTTGGTCGTGGGGGGCAGGCGGAATGGCTTCTTACGGGAAGTGGTGGCTGGCGCAGTGGTGACCGGTCTCTTCGTGGTGATTGGGCCCGGGGTTTTAACATTGAGTCTCCCTGGATACAATGCTCGGGGCAGAGCCGTAGTGGTGTAGTGGCGGGTGGTGGTGGCGGCTGGCGCCATGGTGGTGGCTGTGGTGGTGGTAGTTGTGGTGGTGAAGAGCTGGGGGATCCAATCTAAAACAAGTCAAAACAGGAGAGGAGAGTTTAGGGGGTGATGAAACACTGTTGTGGAACTCTCTGCCACAGTACCAAAAAAATTGCAGACCTTTCTTAGGGGTAAAGTTTTTTCCGTAACGTTATATCTAGTCATTTCCAACTCTGGGGGTGGTGCTCATCTCCATTTCTCAGCTGAAGAGCCAGCATTGTCCATAGACACCCCCACAGTCACGTGGCCAGCATTTATTTATTTATTTACAGTATTTAGATTTTGCCCTTCTCACCCCGCAAGGGACTCAGGGCGGATTACAACGTACATATACATGGCAAACATTCAATGCCCTAGACACACAACATATATAGACAGACACACAGAGGCTATTTAACATTTTCATGAGGGTATTGTGGCCACCAAGGGTTGCTGTCGATTCACCCTCCATTTGTGACATTGATGAAATACTTCCTCATTCTTTGCATGCTTGCTGGAGATTTTTATGGCCTTGTAAATCAGTTAAATTAGCCTCCCCACATAAGTGGTACCTAAATTTCCTACTTGACAGATGCAATTGTCTTTCGGGCTGCAAAGGTCGACAACAAGCTACACAAATTGGCCGGTAGTTCACTCTGACCCGGGCTGGCTTCGAACTCATGACCTTTTAGTCAGTAGTGATCTTAATGCAGCTGACTCCGAGCCAGCTGCGCCTGCATGACTGTATGGAGCACCGTTATCTTCCCGCTGGAGTGGTACCTATTGATCTACTCACATTTGCATGTTTTTCCAACTGCTAGGTTGGCAGAAGCTGGGGCTAGCAGTGGGAGCTCATCCTGCTCCCCGGATTCAAACCTGTGACCTTTCGGTTAGCAAGTTTAGCAACTACTGCGCCCCAAAAAACTCACAAACACCCAATCTGCCTGACGTTTGGTGCTCCTAAGTACACGTTACAACCCGCACAGGCTTGCTGTCACACATTAAACCTATGAGCTCCCAGCTCATGTGGCATTTCTGCCTCCCCCTCGCCACCATTCCCCCCTGAGGAGTGTGCAAATTACGTGAGCCATGCGTCGTAATGTGAGAATTGTCCCTCTCTGTCTTTGCGGGGGCGACATATCAACCCTGGACTCGGCGGCAGATCAAAAGCACGGGGAAGCTTGTGCTAATTAACGGCAACGCCGACCGATTCTTCCTTCTTTCCAAAGAGATGAAGAGAGGCGTTTCGAGAGTGGATAAGGCAGAGATCCTCCTGGGGGAGTTCGTCGGAATCCACAAGGTGGATGGGGAACTTTGCTAAGCTCTGAATGAAAGCGGGCATTGTCTCGTCGACACAGAAATGCCCTCTGAAAATCTCCGAAAGAGACACGGAGGAGGACAATACGCCAACGGGAGGTGTTTGATGGGCTCCAGGCCTGAATAGGATGAGGCAGAGACCTCTTTTGAACGAGGGAAAGCACAACCAAGACTGAGAAGGGAAGGCAGGAGGAAAGGGGGATGACGGGCACGGGGAGGAACGCACCAAAATCCATAAATCTGATATTCTCTTGCTGAGGCCTTTTCACCAAGATGGTCCTTTTCTTCGAGGCTTTGATCTGCTTCAGAAGAGCCCTCTGGATGTCGGTGGCTGCGTAGGTCGTGGCTGAAAAAGGACAAGAAAAGGATGAGCTATAGAACAGTATCCTTTTTTAATGCCATGCCAGTACACCAGCACTTCCCCTTGGATGCCAACCCCGGACTTCGATCTCCCATCTCCAGCAGTAACCATGGCACACAGGGTCCTCGACAAGCACACTATGTTGTCTGCATTTGGCCAAACACATTTGAGGAGGAGGGGGTTGGAATCGAAGGACAAGAAAAGGGAAAGAACGAGCTATATAACAGTATTCTTTTTAATGCCACCCCTGGACTTCAATTTCCCATCTCCAGCAGTAACCATTGCACACAGGGTCCTCGACAAGCACACTATATTGTCTGCATTTGGCCAAACACATTTGGGGAGAAGGGGGTTGGAATCAAAGCAAAGGGTGAAAAGGGATAAGAAAAAGGAGAGGACGAGCTATATAACAGTATATTTTTAATGCCATGCCTGGATTTCAGTTTCCCATCTCCAGCAGTAGCCATGGCACACAGGGTCCTCGACACGTGCACTATATTGTCTGCATTTGGCACAAACATTTGAGGAGGAGGGGTTTGGAATCAAAGGAAAGGCTGAAAAAGGACAAGAAAGGGGAGAGGATGAGCTATATAACAGTATCCTTTTTTAATGCCACGCCTGGACATCAATCTCCCATCTCCAGCAGTAACCATGGCACACAGGGTCCTCGACAAGCGCACTATGTTGTCTGCATTTGACCAAACACATTTGAGGAAAAAGGGGTTGGAATCAAAGGAAAGACTGAAAAAGGACAAGAAAAGGGAGAGGACGAGCTATATAACAGTATCCTTTATTAATGCCACCCCTAGACTTCAATCTCCTATCTCCAGCAGTAACCATGGCACACAGGGTCCTCGACAAGCGGACTCTATTGTCTGCATTTGACCAAACACATTTCTTCATAAACCCTATCTTAGAGGAGCGTGCTGACAGTGGTTGGCCACTGCCAGAAGGGACAGAGAGTTTCATCTATGCTGATGATCGTGCCATCACCATTCAAGGAGGGTGCTTTGAAATGTCTGAACAGAAGTTCTCAGATGCTCTTATTATTTATTACATAGAAAACTAGCTGATTCCTAATCCATTTAAAATGCAGATGTGAGCTTTTCATCTTAAGAACAGACAAGAATCTCAAGTTCTGGGAAGGAATCCCACTGGATTCCTGGGAGACACTCTGAACCGTGCTTCCAGGGTGGCCAAAAGTAACTTTCCCAAACTGATACACAGACACAATTATCTCCCGAGCTGGCAAAAGAGGGAGTTCTAGGCTTGTCAATGAAAGCGATCAGGGAGGAACGGGGTGCAAGGAGGATGCTCACCTGGGTCAAAATGGGCCTCCACAATGACGCGCACGGGGTTGCTTTGGCTCAGGTCTCGCACCCGGATGCTCTTGAAATCCTTCTTGATGTCTGAGTTGCGGAAAAGCTCATCCAGCTAGAAGCCATGCAGATAGAGAAAGGAAAATGAACACAAAGAGCTTCAGGGAAGCTTGGACAAAATCTAGATCAGAACTCGGAAATGCGTTGGGTCACGAAGGCTATGTTTTTGTCTCCCTGTGAATCAAAGATTCCTCAACCTGCGACCATCAGATTTGAAATCTGGGAGTGGGGTGAGCTCCCATCTGTTAGCTCCAGCTTCCCATGTGGGGACATGAGAGAAACCTCCCATAGGATGATAACCCATCCAGGCTTCCCCTGGACAACGTCCTTGCAGACGGCCAATTCTTTCACACCAGAAGGACTGCTAGCCGAAAGGTTGGCGTTTCAAATCCGGGAGCGAGGTGACCTTCCATCTGTCAGCTCCAGCTTCCCATGCGGGGACATGAGAGAAGCTGTCTACAGGATGGTAACACATCCGGATATCCCCAGGGCAACGTCCTTGCAGACAGCCAATTCTCTCACAGCAGAAGGATTGCTGACCGAATGTTCAGTGGTTTGAATCCAGGGAGTGGGGTGAGCTCCCGTCTGTCAGCTTCCCATGTGGGGGAAGCTTCCCACAGGATGGAAACACATCCGGACAGCCTATTCTCCCACATCAGAAGGATTGCTGGCCAAAAAGTAGGCAGTTTGAATTTGGGGAGTAGGGTGAGCTCTCATCTGTCAGCTCCAGCTTCCCATGCGGAGGCATGAGAGAAGCCTCCCACAGGATGGCAACACATCTGGGCATCCCCGGGGCAACATCCTTGCAGACAGCCAATTATCTCACACGATAAGGATTGCTGGCCAAAAAGTAGGCAGTTCGAATTTGGGGAGCGGGGCGAGCTCTCATCTGTCAGCTCCAGCTTCCAATGCGGGTGCATGAGAGAAGCCTCCCACAGGATGGTAACACATCCGGGCATCCCCGGGCCAATGTCCTTGCAGATGGTCAATTCTCTCACACCAGAAGGACTGCTGACCAAAAGGTCAGCGTTTTGAATCCAGGGAGCGGGGTGAGCTCCTGTCTGTCAGCTCCAGCTTCCCATGCTGGGGCATGAGAGAAGCTTTCTACAGGATGGAAACATATCGGAACGTCCCTTGGGCAGCGTCCAATTCTCTCACACCACAGAATTTACTCTATTTATTATTGTTATTATTGCATGTATTGTCTTACCCTATTTATTATTATTACTACGTTTATTATTTTACTCTATTTACTATTATTAAATATCCATTATTTTACTCTATTATTATTATTACACTGCAGTTTCTCAAGTCGCTCCTGAGAGGCCATCATTATGAAGGCAATCATACGGCGAACGTCAAGCCAGGGTTGGGCATCCCTGGGAGACTACGTTTTTGGGACCACTCACCGCGCTCTCGATGCTCCGGGCCGTTTCCCCAAAGAGTTCCGACTTGGGGTCGGCCATCTCCGGCGTGTAGAAGAGCTCCTGGCCTTCAACTTCTTCCAAGATGAGAACTCCTTGGAACACCTTTGTGGCTGAAGGAGAAGCCAGAGAAGAGAGAAACCCAAGAGGAAGGGATTTGTTATCTCCGTCGACTTCGGGGCGGCCAACATACATCTCTCCATACAAAATACAACGTTTTCACAGCAAACGAATCGGAGTGTTCAGTCCCTTGGCAGGGAAAGTGAGAAGATGGTGGAATATGGGGAGTGCCAGCGTCGTGGGGTTAGTCTAGATGGGCACGGGCAGCGCTATGGAAGGTTAGTATTTGGACAATGCGGGGTCAACATGGCAGCGACCCACGGCGTTTACCATACGGGTTCCTCCAAAGCTCCACCCCGGATGGTGGCCCTCCTGGACCGGCTGAGTAACAAGAGAAAGACGGTTAGCTGGAGGCAGGAAACACACGGTATACAAAGGCTCTGGGATGACCGCATGCACAAAGGAACAAAAGAGAGGGAAAGAAGAAGCCTAGCTGCTCCCTGCCCGGGGGAATCCTTTGTTGGGAGGCATTTGCTGTCCCTGATTGTTTGAGAACACCGAAAGGCTGGACCACTCTAACAGCCACCATGTCAGATGGCACAGAAAAGCCTGCAATTGGCCATCTTGAATAGCATTCAATGGCTGCTCCCTGCCTGGGGGAATCCTTTGTTGGGAGGCATTTGCTGTCCCTGATTGTTTGAGAACACCGAAAGGATGGACCACTCTAACAACCACCATTCAGATGGCACAGAGAAGCTTGCCATTGGCCATCTTGATTAGCATTCAATGGCTGCTCCCTGCCTGCGGGAATCCTTTGTTGGGAGGCATTTGCTGTCCCTGATTGTTTGAGAACACTGAAAGGATGGGCCACTCTAACAACCACTATGTCAGACGACACAGAGGAGCTTGCAATTGGCCATCTACATTAGTATTGAATGGCCTTGCAGTTTCAAAGCCTGGCTGCTTCCTGCCTGGGGGAATACTTTGTTGGGAAGTGTTTGCTGTCCCTGATTTTTTGAGAACACCAAAAGCCTAACAACCATTATGTCAGACAACACAGAGAGCTTGCAACTGGCCACCTTGATTAGCAATGAATGGTCTTCCAGCTTCAAAGCCTGACTGTTTCCTGCCTGGGGGAATCCTTTGTTGGGAGGTGCCTGCTATCCCTGATTGTTTGAGAACACCGAAAGGCTGGACCACTCTAACAACCACCATGTGAGACATCACAGAGAAGCTTGCAATTGGCCATCTCGATTAGCATTCAATGGCTGCTTCCTGCCTGAGGGAAACCTTTGTTGGGAGGCATTTGCTGTCCCTGATTGTTTGAGAACACCGAAAGGCTGGACCACTCTAACAACCACCATGTCAGACGACACAGAGCTTGCAATTAGCCATCTTGATTAGTTTTGAATGGCCTTGCAGCTTCGAAGCCTGGCTGCTTCCTGCCTGAGGGAATCCTTTGTTGGGAGGCGTTTGCTGTCCCTGATCATTTCCTGTCTGGACATAGTGTATTATTGGAGAACACAGAAATGCTGGAACACTCTAACAACCAACATGTCAGACGACACAGAGAAGCTTGTAATTGGCTACCTTGATTAGCATTGAATGGCCTTGCAGCTTTAAAGCCAGACTGCTTCCTGCCTGGGGGAATCCTTTGTTGGGAGCTATTAGCTGGTCCTGATTGTTTCATGTCTGGAATTCCCCTGTTTTCTGAGTGTTGCTCTCTATTTACCATCCTGATTTTAGAGGTTTTTTTTAATACTGGTATCCAGAGTTTGTTCGTTCTCATGGTTTCCTCCTTGCAGCTTCAAAGCCTAGCTGCTTCCTGCCTGGGGGAATCCTTTGTTAGGAGGTGTTGGCTAGCCCTGATTGTTTCTTGCCTGGAATTCCCCTGTTTTCTGAGTGTTATTTATTTTCGTTGCCACTTCTTAATGGTCATTTTGCTACTGTTATGAATTATAATGCAAATATCTGATATGCAGGATGTATTTTCATTCACTGGACCACATTTGGCACAAACACCCGATACGCCCAAATCAGATTACTGGTGGGATTGGTTTTGTCATTTGGGAGATGTAGTTGCTGGGATTTATAGTTCATCTACAATCAAAGAGCATTCTTAGCTCCACCAACGATGGAATTGAACCAAACTTGGCACACTCCCATGACCAACAGAAAATACTAGAAGGTTTGGTGGGCATTGAGCTTGAGTTTGGGAGTTGTAGTTCACCTACATTTAGAGAGCACTGTAGAGTCAATGATGGAACTGGACCAAACTTGGCACAAATACTCCACACGCCCAGTAGTGGAGTTTGGGGGAAAACAAACCTGGGCATTTTGAAGTTGTAGTTGCTGGGATTTGTAGTTCACCTACAATTAAGTAGCATTCTGAACTTCACCAAGGACGGAATTGAACCAAACTTGGCACACAGAACTCCCATGACCAACAGAAAATACTAGAAAGGTTTGGTGGGCACTGAGCTTGAGCTTGGGAGTTGTAGTTCACCTACATCCAGAGAGCACTGTGGATACAAACAATGATAGATCTGGACCAAACTAAGCACGGATACTCAATATGCCCGAATGTAAACACTGGTGGAGTTTGGGGGAAACAGACCTCGGCATATGGGAGTTGTCATTGCTGGAATTTATAGTTCACCTACAATCAAAGAGCATGATAGATCTGGACCAAACTTGGAATGGATACTCAACATGCCTGAATGTAAACACTGGTGGAGTTTGGGGGAAACAGACCTTGACATATGGGAGTTGTCATTGCTGGGATTTATAGTTCACCTATAATCAAAGAGCATTCTGAACCCCACCAATGATCGAATTGGGTCAAACTTCCCATAGAGAACTCCTGTGTCTAGTAGGGACTTCCTAGCGCGAGCCTCCCTCCAGCCTTGCACCACACACTGCCATGACATTTGATATTGTCATTTGGAAGTTGTAGTTGCTGGGATTTATAGTATATCTACAATCAAAGAGCATTCTGAACCCCACTAAAGGGCCACTCTTCCCATACAAAACCCCTGTGTCTAGGACTTCCTGGCACGAGCCTCCCTCCAGCCTCGCACGCTCTCCCTTGCTCCGCACACTGCCATGACATTTGATATTGTCATTTGGGAGTTGTAGTTGCTGGGATTTATAGTTCATCTACAATCAAAGAGCATTCTGAACCCCACCAAAGGGCCAAACTTCCCATACAAAACCCCTGTGTCTAGGACTTCCTGGCACGAGCCTCCCTCCAGCCTCGCACGCTCTCCCTTGCTCCGCACACTGCCATGACATTTGATATTGTCATTTGGGAGTTGTAGTTGAGGGGATGTATAGTTCATCTACAATCAAAGAGCATTCTGAACCCCACTAAAGGTAGAAGTGGGTCAAACTTCCCACACAGAACTCCCATATCTAGAAGGGACTTCCTAGCGCGAGCCTCCCTCCAGCCTCACACGCTCTCCCTTGCTCCGCACACTGCCATGACATTTGATATTGTCATTTGGGAGTTGTAGTTGCTGGGATTGATAGTTCATCTACAATCAAAGAGCATTCTGGACCCCACTAAAGGTAGAAGTGGGTCAAACTTCCCACACAAAACTCCTGTGTCTAGTAGGGACTTCCTAGCGCGAGCCTCCCTCCAGCCTCGCACGCTCTCCCTTGCTCCGCACACTGCCATGACATTTGATATTGTCATTTGGGAGTCGTAGTTGCTGGGATTTATAGTTCATCTATAATCAAAGAGCATTCTGAACCCCACTAAAGGTAGAATTGGGTCAAACTTCCCACACAGGTATGAGCCTCCCTCCAGCCTCACATGCTCTCCCTTGCTCCGCACACTGTCATGACATTTGATATTGTCATTTGGGAGTCGTAGTTGCTGGGATGTATAGTTCATCTACAATCAAAGAGCATTCTGAACCCCACCAAAGGTAGAATTGGGCCACTCTTCCCATACAAAACTCCTGTGTCTAGGACTTCCTGGCACGAGCCTCCCTCCAGCCTCGCACGCTCTCCCTTGCTCTGCACACTGCCATGTGCTGAGCACGCCTGCTCTCCCCTCCTCGCTTGGAATCTCAGAAAGAGAAGTATAGATCGACCTAAAGCTTTGCACACAAAGCAAGGCATGATATTTACCCGGACAGTTGCTTCCTTCGGCATCCGCAGCGGCCGTCTTGCCGTCGGAGCAGCATCCCAAGGGGGTGTTGTAGCACGTGGCCCGCTCGATCACAGGGGTCCCCGTCACCCTTGTCTCTTTGGTCTCTTCGTCACCTACACCAAACATTTGAGGATCAGAGTGAGACTATGACACCTTGGATTTTTCAAAGTCTATATCTCAAAACTATTTTTCAGAGCCAGCCTACAACTCCTACCTGAATCACAGACTCATAATAATAATAATAATAATAATAATAATAATAATAATAATAATAATATCATATAAGCCATGTTTTTCAGCCCTTTTTTAGGCTGAAAAAGCCCCCCTCAGCTTATACTCGAGTCAAAGTTATTTATTATTTTATTTATTGGGTTATTATTATTAGTATTACATTGATTATTTTGCTCTATTTATTATTATTACATTTATTATTTTACCCTATTTATCATCATCATCATCATCATTATTATTGCATTTATTATTTACCCTATTTATCATCATTATTACATGTATTATTTTACTCTGTTATTATTATATTTATTATTTTACTCTATTTATTGTTATTATTACATTTGTTATTTTTCTCTATTTATCATTATTATTATTATTATTATTACATTTATTATTTACCGTATTTATCATTATTATTACATGTATTATTTTACTATATTTATTATTGTTATCATTACATGTATTATTTTACTCTGTTCATTATTATTGTTATTATTACATATATTATTTGACTCTGTTATAATTACATTTATTATTTTACTCTATCATTATTATTACATTTATCATTTTGCCCTATTTATCACTATTATTATCATGACATTTATTATTTTATTCTATTATTATTGTTATTATTACATGTATTATTTTACTCCATTTATTATTATTATTACATGTATTATCTTACTCTATTTATTATTATTGCTACATTTATTATTTTGCTCTATTATTATTATTAAATTTATATTATTTTATTCTATTATTATTACATTTATTATTTTACTCTATTTATCATTATTATTACATGTATCATTCTACCCTATTTATCATTATCATTATATTTTACTACATTTATTATTTTTCTCTATTTAAGATTATTATTACATTTACATTATTTTACTCTATTATTGTTATTATTACATGTATTATCTTACTCTATTTATTATTATTACTACATTTATTATTTTACACTATTTATTATTATTAAATTTATATTATTT